TACAAGAAAAGCTGCTATTGTCCCAGACTGTACTGTATTTTGCAGATGTTACAGTACTGGTACAAATGTAGTTGGCCTCACAGTCTTTTGAATATTTGGATTGGATTACAGTTAGCATAACTTTAACTCTCGTATGTTAATTTGATATGCTTATATTCAAAAACATTGTTCTTTTTCAATGACTTTTTGAATCGACAGATTTCTATGTTTTTGGTTATTGATAAAATCAGTACTTCGATTGGCTCATCAATTTTACGGAAAGATAAGAGCAAGCTGCATCTGTTAGTTCAACACTTTTCATTTTATCGAGGTGGGTGGCGCCATGTGTTAGCAGCTAGTTTTTCATGGAACAGGGAGTTGCAGATCCTTATCATGTTGAAACTAAACACGTGCTGTTCAGGGTTCATTTTTTCAAAACTTAGTAACAGATCTTTAAAACACCCCGTTAAAATCTCACAAGTTTTTATGTTCTATAATTTCTTTCACCAAACACATTCCCAGAATTTTATCATGATCAGATAGCTAGTAGTGCTTCTGAAAAATATTACCCCAATTCACAAAAAGTATTACTTTAGACCCATATCCTTCTTCCCTGAGCTTCTAGTATTTTCTCTCTCCTCTCAAAAGTCCTTAATCAGCTCTAGTGCCATCTAGTGGTCGGTGCAGTTGATCTCAACGAGATAGTAATTATTCAAAGGATGTTGAGCCGCGGGAGAAAGAAGAGTGGAATATGGTGTTTTGAATTCTCTCACGCTTTGCTCAGGAGTACATGTATGTGTACATATTCTGATGTAATAAATTTAGTTCATTATGTTTACACATAATGTGACATATTTTGTAAACTTTTTTTTACGTAATGAATCTTTAGAATACCATACAGTTCATGACTGGATCTTTTCAGTGGGGAAAATTAACAGTCTTTCAGATACACACGTTTGCATGGAATCATCAGAAATATATATATCTGCATATATGTAGCAATTGTAATATTTTAACTGCAGAAAATAAAACTCATCCAGTTTTGTTGCGACCACTCAATAGAAATTGTCTCATTATAAAGTATTCATGACTTAAAAATGTATTATCTTTAAAATTCATAACTTTCCCCCATTAAAACTACACAGTTTGTGTGTTTTCTCATGTGCGTGCATCCATGTATGTGTGTGTATGTATCATTTCACTGAGATATTTTTAAAGGTTCATTGCAGAATGTTTCTCAAAATGGGTCATTTTAAGTACTAAACAGTTTGCCATGTAACCAAGTTATCATGTCAAGATCTTAATTGGTTTAGGTTTCTTCCAGTTCATGGAATAGAGATGTTAAGTAGGCTGATAAGAGTTTTGGATTCAATTATTTCCTTTTTTTGTGCTCAGCTAGTAGGCGGAACATGGAAATGGTTAAAAAAATCATTTTGGAAACATAGCATCTCGCATATAACTTTAAGTTAAAACAGATATATAAACTTGTAGATAAAACATTACAGAAGACATGTAAGCAAATTAAGATTTGAGCAGCTCAAAGTAACATGCCACAAAAAAAAAAAAAAAAAAAAAAAAGCTTGGTTTCCTAAAGTGCACCAAATGATCCCTACAAGATTTATATTTGACAGCGTACGCAAGACAACCCCACGCCCCTCAGTGGGATGTCTGAATAGTATTGTCAGTGAAGCATTGTTTGAGGTTTGAGTCTCTAGTGGAACCCTTAGATCTCCAGTTAACCTCTCTAGAGTTATGGTATATGCATGTTGCAAAGAAAACTGACCTAAGTTTGCTGTTTAGATTGTACAGGGATATCCACTGGTATCCAGGTTAAATTTAACTACTGTGGAAACCATTGATTAAGCATTTCAAATTTTCACATAAAATTTCGTTCATGAGTTCATAGACACAACCCCCCAAAAAATGAGATTTAAAAAACAAATTTTAAGGTGTGTGTGTGTGTGTGTGTGTGTGTTTGGGGGGGGGGGGGTCACAGTACTACCACAGTGTAGTAACAATAATTCTGCTGTAGTTAAAATATTGTAGACATATACAATAAAGAGGCATTTAGAAGCATGCATATGAACAGAAGTAACTTGACTGGCTTCGCTTGGATTGACTATAGTTTAACAGATAATATTATAGTTGGAACCAATGGCTCCAATCTTGCAGTATATATCAGTTGTGGTGAATCAAAAAAAATGAAGGGTTTAATCATTTGAAGTAACCTCCATTTAACTCAAACTGCCTCAGTATTTGGAAAGCATATCACATAAATCCAAATTATTTTAAAGAAGAAGAATGGAACCTGTCTGGCTGGCTTCTCTCCACAGTAAAACCTGCACCTGTCTTTATGTAATGGTTATTCTGTACCAACATTTATTTCAGAAAAAAATGAGGTTTCTTGTTCTACAGAATGATGTCTGAGGCAGCTGCAGTTGAATCATGGTATTTTGTGCCTGGGTTTATGATGGGAAAATAGTTGAAAGTTTAAGCCAGTGATATTGGGGTTACATATGACATTTAATTGAGAGAATGAATTTTAGATTTAATGTAGTTATTTTGGCACCTGCTGTGATTGTGTTTTGACAACTGTGTGCTCATTAAAAATCTGGAAAAGTAACAATAACTCTAAAACTTGTCTTGGGTTTGTTTTATAGTGTTATATTCTACCAGTATTGTCATATTTAGTCTCGACAATTTTTCTTGCTGCACACAGAAAGAATTATCCTGAAGAGTGTGATCATATCTTAATCGTAATTTTCAGCAGTAAGCAACAAAAATACTTAAATAAATTTGTTTGGGGGAAATTAGTATATATTATCTCATTAAGTAATTTGTCATTGTTTGTCTTGCCTTTAAGATCTGGTTATAAGCAATTTTATCTAACGACTTGTTAACAAAATCATGCTAGTGTAGTAAGGTTGAGCCCCCCCCCCCCCCCCCCCCAATGTTCATCTTCCAAGTCATGTCAGTTCCCTCATCTTATCCCCAAATAATGAAACAACCTGAACATTGGTAACACTTGAGCACATGTTGCCATGGTAGCAGTGATTAATGTAACAAATTGCCAATTACGTGCCACAGTAAGCTGGGCAAATGTGAGTAACCCACGAATGTACAGGCAGTTCCAATGTGCTAAAGTTCCACATTGCAGGAGTTGACTAGCTACCAGATCAGCAGGTATGGATTGAAACAGGACTGTCATGGAAATATAACTTTGATTTCTGTTTGTGTTCAGAAAACTAGTCATTATTTCAAAGAGAAATTGTGATGGGATGTAATAGAAAGAGTGACAGAATGTAATTTTTGTGAAGTTTATCTTTAATGTGTAAAATTGGTTTATTTTATATAGGCTTTGACAAAGACTTTAAATATTTGTAAATTAGTAGGTTGTGCTATTAGGGAGAGAAACAGCAGTGTAGGACAAATAGTAATAAAATCTACTTTGGGAAGTGAAATAGTTTCTTCCAGTCAGCAAGAGATCTACAGCAAAAGCTTAACTGCAGGTATTCCCTACTATATATTCACAGTAGCAGAGACAGGCAGCCAAACTTATTAGGTAGACTGCAGGCAGTTGTGCAATTAACTATAGCTGCTGGTAATATTGGTAGCAGAACCTGCCAGGTAGATTACCCAGATTACAGGCAATTCCAGACAGAGGAAAGGTACAGGCAGTTTCAGATATTAGAGAGTTGGCTGCCAACATATTACTGAAGATATGGTCCTGTGGCAGCTTGAACGTTTCTTATTATTTTCTTATAAGACAGAAGTGAACAAATGTTGCATTGAAGAGAAAAGATGTTATGGAGAGGAAATTTACTGTGAAATGGACCCTTTTGAAAATTTGTCTATAGAATCATGGGTACCTCCTACCTAGTAATTTACCTGCAAATAAATTGTTTACTCAAGGGATTGCAGAATAGTTTATTCTTTGGCCAGTTAATTAGTATCTTATATAAAACATGCATTTTTCAGATGAATATGATTCCATACCAAATTATATTGAATAAAGCCTTTTACTGAAAGATATTTTATTTTGCTATTCAATTTCACCCTAAAAGAAGACATATGGATTTATGTTTATATGTTTTTTTCACCTTAACATTTGGTCATTTTGAAATAAACAACCTCACAATCAAACATGAATTTCAACAAGAATTCTTTGTATATAAGTAAGCACCAGGCAGATTCATCCTGCTGATAAAAGTGAATTAGGTATGACACTCTGGAGGGAGACCAAGCTGTGATATTGCTTCCTACAACAAAAAAACTTGATGTCTGCTTCAAAGGAAGCATACAAGGAAGGGGAATGAAACTGATATACTTATGTTTTTATATATTTTGTCCTAGACCAGTTTAAAGCCTGGCCTTGACAGTATGAGTTCATTACCCTTTGTTTAGACCAACAAAAGTCTGCATAAAAGACAATACCTCTTTTTCAGTTAAGTTGCTTGCTGTTGGAACTTGTCTATCTGATATGTAATTTTAGATAAACAAAATGAAGAGATTAACTATTTAATTGTATTAAGCCCCCCAGCCATGTAAGAAGGCTGTTAAAAAAAGGTTTAGCAGTGCTCATAAAATTATGTGCATGAAACACCAGTGGAAAGTGGTTTTATGGTAATGACTCAATCTTTTGGATACATATTTTTGAAGTTATTAAAAATTGTATTCTGTTTAGCATTTTAATGCTTTAAATGTGTAGAATAGAGCTATAGGGTAGTGTGTGTTTTAATATTGTTAGTACCACTGAACAGTAGTGTTCTAATTTTAAGAATTTATATGATTATGACTTTAAAAAATTCAACTTCAAAACAGTTTACAATTTTCCCCATCAAAAAGATTGATTCATTACTCAGTATTCTTTTTTTTTTTTGGGGGGGGGGGGACATTAGAGTGATATATGTAGAAAAATTGATTTTGTATATTTTACTGAAATTGGTACAACTGCAGTTTGATATTTAACAAGCTGGAGAGTTCTTCTCATTCTTAATTGCTCTGTTTCTCTGTCGTTTCAGTTCAGCCAGTTTTGCTGCCTTGCTGACCTGCAGAGTGTAGTGTTGATGTGTTTATACCTCCGTCCACAACCAACGCATTAACACACGGTTACCGCCAAAAAAATCCCAAAGTCGATTCATCCCAGGAATCAAATCTTGTTTAAAAGCACCTTATCGGATGAAATAACAAATATATAATAAATAGTTCCAGCACCTCATTCAGCTACTGTTTACGGGTATATGGTGGAGGTGTAAAAACGGTGGGTGTTGTTAGTGTAAAGCCTTGATAAGTTGAAATTGATTGTTTTTCTAAGACTTTTCATGGACCAACATATTGAAAGGGGGATATATTGGAGAATTACTAGTAGGGTTATTCAGGACAGTTTGGATGTTAGACCAGGGACAAAATTGAAATTTGGAAGAAAGAGCCCAAGTTTTGAAGATTTGATACAAGCGTCGTGTAGCAGCAGTTCCAATTTATAGGAAACATTTGTATAATAGTTAAAGTCAGCAAGTGGAGGAAACTATTGGACCAGGATTAGATAATAACATTACATGCAGTTCCAAAACTGTATGCCACAAGCGACAATTACATATTGAGAAATCATTTTGATCAAAAAGGGAATTCAGGACATTGAAGAAAACAGAAGGATTTATATACTTGCATTGCTGAAATCATCCCAGGATGGCTAGAGAGAATGCTGTGTTTGGCATCATTGTGCTAGGACTTCTGTACAGTTGCTATTTAGTTGAAGATGTACATGGACAATGCACAGGTGAGTCTAAGCATGGACAAAGTACAGGCAGTTCTAGATCGTGGACAAAAACATAGATATCATAATTGTTATAATTTTAAATCAGGATAATTTGTTATTAATTTCTAATAGCTTTATTTGTGTCTCCAATCCATTCATGAACTGTGTGACCAAGCTGTTTGACAAACTCACAGGTAGGTTTTGTGTAATCTTATCAACACCTGCCTCTGATCATGCTGTCTATGTCACTGCAGCATGTTCCATCCAAACCATTTGGACCCTATAATTGTCAAAATGTATCGTTGTTTTCTTGTTTGCTTTTACTTCCAACACCTTTTTTCATGTTCATTGATAATTTCAGTGTGATTATTAATTTTCTTTAGAGTACAGATTTGGAAATAAAAATTGGCCAAATTCATCGTACTTAGTAAGGTTATTAAGGGATTACAAATGTGATTTTTTAAATTTGATTATCAAGAGAGCTTATGTACCAAAGGAATTCGATCTGCTTATGACACATTTCCTCTTCCTTAATTTTGCTCCTCAACAAAATTCATTTTTGCTAACTTGGTCATTGTGGCTTTGTTTTTTTCCTCTATTTCATCATTAGTCAGTTATGTACAGAGGTGAGACGACAGTTGAGTCATACACAAGTAAATTAATCATGATCAGCAATTGTAAATTTGGCAAACTGTATTTTTAATGGTAAACATCTACCTACAATTACTCTCTTTAAATTGTTTTTCTATTGTGATGCTGTTCTTGAATATAAAGTTACATGTTTTAGGTCATTTTTCCACAAAGCAAACATTTTGTGGAATTTATGATAACTGGATTTTTCAAATTACTCGTGCACACTATCCACAGATTTCCTTAATCAATCAAATTGCAGTATTTGCAACTGATAGGTCATGTTTTGTAACCCATATATTGAGACTTATGGCCATGATCTTTGCTATATAAGTTTTATAAACTGACATACAACTGTTCAAATAATATTCTATGGCTACGATGTTTTTACCTCTCAAACCTTCGGCTCAATCCTAAAATGGCACCTGCCCTTGAAAAACACTGTTCATGGTTGGCTTGTGTTCACATTACATGTAGGATTACAATACAGTAGAGTTTTTTAATGTAAATGCTATACCACCATTTATTTCAATGCCCCTCCAAGATTGAATACCTACATGTTTGCCAATTTCTTAGATTAAAGGTTAGGCTCTATTCCCATAGATTTTAGATCGATCTATCCCCGCAGGGGGGGGTCTCACTAGATTACTTTCAGATAATCCGACTTAAATGTCCGTCCCGCCTTCTACAAGCTGTAAGGGGATAATTAACTTTTGTGTCCACCCGGCTGACAGCTATTTAGCGTGAACCCCCAGGGAGTTAGGTCGATCTAAAGTAGGTCGATCTAATCTATGGAAATGGGGTGTTAGATTCCACCTCAACAAGATATTTTTATTTGTCTAAGGGCTCATTACCATTGGGACTATCATTCTATGTAGATTAATCTAACTCTGCGGGGACTCTCGCTGAATGCACAAATGGAGGTTTGAAAATGAAGAAACAGGAGCAGGAACGGATCTGATCATCAGCTAGGGTATTACTTTGTAGGATTTGTTAGACAAGGTTTATTTTCCTGGTGAGAGTTGTTTCCAGACAAACTGCCAGATAAGACACAGATCAGACAGGTGAACTGGGCTCTACTTAGTGATATAGGGTTAGATTCCGGAGTCAACTATTTACTTGAAATTAGATTTAGTCTTCTGTTGGAAACTCTGGTTTACCTATCCTGGCTCTTCATCTCTGTCTATTTGCTCCTCCCCTAATCATTTTCGGTCAAAACCAACATTTTGATCTTTTTTCTTTTTTGAATTGGTATTTTGTCATTGTTAGCTATTCTATTTCCAGGTCATGACATTTTCACCAATTAAACCCTATGTTGCAAAAGTTCAGGTTTGGAGAAAAGATTTTGAAGTTTGTTCGCACCCCATCCGCAATAATCTGAAACTTTGGATGATCACAAACCTAAGATTACCGTAACAGAAAATTTGGAGTGTGTACAGCATATCTAATGTTCAAAGCAAACATCTTTTTAAAGATTTACCCTTTTAAAACTGGCAATCAATATAGGTTGTTGGGAAAGTCCAAAATCAGACCCAAAGAAATGAGCATCCAGTATTGAGGCATTTGGAAAGCTCATCAGAGCTTTTAGAGCCTGCCATCAATATATAAAACAGAAGACCTGAGTCTGCAGACATTCAGATCATTGCAAGCAAGTTGCGTGCACTTATTTAATTGCATACTCTTACCTCATAGTCATATTCTTGACATTTGCTAAATATATCTATAGAAAAAGCACTCGGAGAATTGAAGGGCAGATACCAAAATCTTTCTTGTGAAGTTCATTATAATTGATTACTAGAGTAAATGATTCTGAAAAAAAATTATCATATAACTGTTGCCATTGGAAAGATGAAAAAGAAATTATTTTTCTGGACATTAGGTGAGAAATGGCATGATTGTAAAAAATTGTTAAGAAAATTTTGCATATACCGAAGTTTCATATGAAATGATTCCAGGGAAGACACATTATACAACTCAGTATGATGCATCCAGGCATATTTACTCAGAATGTAGCTTTTTTAGCATACATAACAATGCTGAATATGCCTCTCTGACTTATAAACTATTATGGCACCCCATTCTTAAGATTGATACGTAGAAATGCTGGCTGCGATCTTTCATATTAACCAGCTCCAGCTGAGCCATGATGCAACATGGTGGTTCCAGGGGTGACTTGCAGTTTTGTAATTCCAAGAAACAATGAGATGTCTTGTGCAAATGTTCTGCATAATGTTAAGTATTCTACACAATGTGACACATACAATACATTGGCGAAAGCATCGATCTACAAAAAAAAAAAGGGGGGAGGGGTTGCTGTGATTCAGTTAATTTGAATTGTCAAAACACATATCTGCTAATTATTTATTGTTCCATTATGTAAATGTTATTAGAAAAAGATCAACCTAAAAATAGACACAGAAGAAAAAAAGGTACACATTTATTTATACCTTGTAATTTTGGTCTATTTTATAAATGTTTTAAGTTAGATGTTTTTAGCAGAGTTGGATCGATCTACATAGACCTATAGATTCATTGGGAATAAGTCCTAAGTCTGCCAAGAAATTTCTGCCATTATTCGTGACCCGCTTTCATCCCAATTCTGTGAAATCTAAATTGCAAGACTTGGGGCTAACTTGTATGATTTTCAATATTTGTGATATGTGCCTTTATTCACTGCAGCTAAAATGTTCGATTTTTTAATAACACGGTTTGTTTCAGATCTATGGAGTGGTCCCACCGAATACCCCCCATACATAGACTTACAGCCAGATCAATTGATGCAATTCAAGAAACGTCTGGCATTCACCATGGAGTGTCAGGCCAGTGGAAACCCAGCGCCAACGTGAGTCAAGATATCAGTCCTAACAAACTGACAGTGTCCTATTATAACTTTGATAGTCATATGATAACAAATAGTTTACAGCTTCAGAATTGTAATGTTCAAAAAAAGTATGTCTCTAAAGATCAACTTCTGGAAGACCTGGAAAAGTGTCTGTGTATAAACTCACCAATTTTTATTTCATTTTGAGTAATGTGCTTTAATTAATTTCTAAATACACCAGTGATCAGCCTGTTTTTTTACATGTCTCTTTGTTTTTTATTTATTTTTTAAATTTTTGTTAATTTATTTTTATTAACATATTTTTTACTCCTAGCCATGTTGCCATGTTTTAGTTAATATTTAATCCTGATTTATGATAATATATTATTAGTTTACATTTTATGTTAACATGTGATAATATATTACGAGCATATCCCTTCAATTAACATAAAACAAAATGTATGTTGTAATTCAGTTACACGTGGTATAAGAATGGCCAGCCCTTCAATCCCAGTGGGGATACCACCATGATGACTGGCCTGGGAAATCTGAACTTTGACAACCCTAAAGAAAGTGATGCAGGCATCTACCAGTGTGTGGCCACCAATAGCAAGGGGACAGCTGTCACTCATAAGGTCATGTTGGTAGAGGCTAGTAAGTATATGGGAATATGAAAACTTCGTCAATTTTGATGTTAAAGCCTTAGTAAAATCAGTTAAAATGTTTTTATGCACATTAAGTATTAGTAACTGCAAAACGAAAAGAGTGAAGGCTGCTTGATTGCATGATTTTTCCATAAAAGAATAGGTTCTCACAATTTCTATGCTCTTGCTCAGCTGTTTACGAATTGTTGTTATTTATTGCTGTAGTTGAGATGGACATACCAGCACAATCAGAAAAGACATCTCAACACAGCCAGTCCAGAATGCAATTATGTATTTGCTTGGCTGAATTTCTGAATTCAACTTCCAGTCCAGAATCCATTTCTGAACCTCCGACTGCAAGTGAAGAAGCCAGCAGTGGGTCAGCCATTCAAACTGGAGTGTGAAAATATGCCACAGACATACCCTGAACCAGAAATAACTTGGGAAGTGGAGAAGAAGAGGGGTTCCAGGAGGAGCAGTTTTTATATGAATGATAGAGTTACTCTAGACCATGAAGGTAATATTTGTATGTCATATGGTGTTTGCTAATAATATTTTAGTTAACCAATTTAGAGATGAGCTGTAATTAGGAGGATCCTTTGTCAAAGTTAAAGCAGTAATTTAGTTTTGAGTACATATATCAAATATTTGCAAAATTATTAAACTCTGTGCATTAATTTAGATCTATTCTACTGCTTAATTTGGATCAGACCCCATTATTTCAAGGTAATGTTCCCTTATTTATTCCATGTAAAACAGTAGATTTATGCATTTTGAGTAATGTAAAGTTAACAACTCTATATGCTGACATGTTGATATATTGTGTTATGTCTCAGAAGCGAGGCTGCACTTTTACTCATATTATTCCATTTTCCCCTGGAGTCACTCCATGCATCACATGGCTGTGTTCATTAGCACTTTAGTATCTATTATCTGTTTTATTCCCAGGAAACTTGTACTTTGCCAATGTGGTCCCAGATGACAATATGAATGGCCGTCCCTACGCATGCAAGGTGAACAACCCCTTCCTCAGGTCTAGCGTCATGGGGCCCAATGTGAAACTGGAACCCTCTGGAACCATAAGTAAGTACAGTGGAGCTTCCTCCCCCCCTCTCTCTCTCTCTTTCTGCTCTCTCTCTCTTTGAACCTCCACTCTCTCTTTCTCTCTCTCTCTCAGAGAAAGCAAATTTAAAATCAAATCCAATATAACACAAAAGAGAGAACTTTATACAAGTTTTAGTTTCACCAACTTTGTGGAAATTTTAGACAAAAATTGTTCTCCCTGATCTCATACTAAGACTTAGGGTGCTTTCCATGTTTTTAAGACATTACCCATATAACTAAACCAAATATATGTTGATGATAGAGTACCATGAGGGAAATGTATAACATTAAGTCATCATGACTGTTTTTCCTTCCAGGCAGTGTGCTCCCTTATGCACCCATACTGCTGTGGTCATCTCCCAGCAAGGTGGATGCCTTGAAAGACGATGAAGTACAAATTAAGTGTATCTTTGGAGGCTAGTGAGTATACTTGGAAAAACGTGTCAATAAGTCTGAAACATATCTCTTGTTTGACTTTCACTAGATTTCAAGGCTCTATTTATTTTTTAATTCAATAAGTAGTTGTTAAAAAAAAATGAAGGGCTGTTGATTATTACAAATCTTACTGTTTGCCAGGATACACATCATTTGTAAGGTGTTAGGTTAAAGTTTTTATTATCTTTATTTCATCTATATTCTGTACAAATTAATCAATTTCTAAAGCAGGTAAACCCTAAACAGTTTAAGTAAACTTTATACACATTGGATTTTTTTGTACCTTACCTATCAGCCCTACACCAAGAATAAAGTGGTACAGAAAGAATGGAGACATCTCTGAGCCACTTAATGCCAGAGGATCAAGCTATGAGATTGAAGATTACGGCATGGCCGTGCTTTTTCGCAGCATCAGTTATGACGATGCCCAGAGGTACCAGTGCGTCGGCGAGAACACTCAGGGACAGTCTAGTCACGATATTGAGATTAGTGTAGAGTGTGAGTACATGTAGAATTCATTGACAGGATTCACAACAAGAGTTTTTTGCCCAGAAATCTGTCTGAGCTTTTTAAAGGCTCGAAACTTGATCTTTTTCAGTTCCTGATAAATGTGATCTGGCCAGTTATACAGTGTAGTATATAAGTAGATGAAAAAGTATATTTTTAAAGGTTTTTGATAAATGAAAACCTCATACTAGTGGATAATAAATTTGCTAAGTATTAGCTAAAAAAAAAACAATCATAATTATAAAAGAGAGAAAAGAAAAGAAAAATGTACTGACAGTTTATGATGTGATGTTGAATCTTTCAGCTATACCTGAATTGGAGAAAGAACCAACCAACATTGATATAGAAGAAGCAGAAACTGTCAGGGTGGAATGTGTTGCTACGGGGATGCCCACTCCAGTCACAGAGTGGTTTATTAATGGGAAACCACTGAAAGGTGATACTAACAGTACATTTTATGACAGAGACTTGAGCCAAGTTAGCATTTAACATGGTGACATTTTTTTTTTGTTGTTGTTGTTGTTGTTCTGAGAAAAAATGATAGGATTGCAACTCCATTTTACAAAATATAGTTACAAATGTGAAAAATTAGTTTAATTTATCAGAGCATCACCTTGAAGCTGTGTAGGCTTTTCATCTCTGAAAACTTACTTGCTACTCCATTTTTCTCAGGACGGAGAATATGGAGATTATAATTTGCTTTTCAATAATTCCTGCAAAGTGTTGACAGAAGAAACAAAATTAAAGAAAAAAATATAGAATAAAGGACTGCACTGTAGATTTCAAAAGTCCCATTTTCATGGAATTAGTCTGTTATTACAGAATAGATACATGCACATTTTATTAATGCTTGTTTCATGTCAAATGACAGTAGCTAGCTATAGGCCAGTAATATTTTGTAAATTTGTTCAGGTACTTGCCTCTTTTTGCATTTTTCCCCTTGTATAAGACCCTTGTATCTCATAGTGCCAGTAGTTAGGCTGAAATTTTAGCACAGCTACTTGAAAACACAACTCAGAACTGAAATCTTAATGTCCTCTGGTGAATTAATCTTTTATATGTGATATTAACGTTTTCAGATGTTCCTCTAAACCCCCGTAGAACCGACACCTTGGACTACATTGAGTTCACAGACCTGAGGAAAGAGGACTCTGCCGTGATCCAGTGTAATGCTTCCAATGAGAACGGCTATGTATTTGTCAATGGATATCTTAATGTTATGGGTAGGTGAAAAGTATATGAAGATTCGCTTTTATTAGTTATCTTGTTGAAGAATAGAAAGATAAAAATTTAAAGAATATTTTTAGTTAAATATATAATACCCATCAAGCATGAGCAGAAATATAAACAACCCCTGCAATGCTTTAAAAATTTATCAGCATTATGGGTTATATATATATATATGAAATCATGCAATATGAATTTTGTTGTTTGGTTTTTCATTGTACTACAGATTACTGTCTGTATTTTCAGAAGCCACAGATTACTGTTCGTAGGCCATTGCATAAATAATTCACATGGGTCACATATATTTTTGCCCAGTGTATTTCTTAACTCTTCATTTCGACCAAAAAATGAATTTTCCTGGAGTAAACAACAATTTTCCCATACTTACCAATGGTTAATGAATCCATTTTCACATTCAAAGTTAGTCCCTGGTTTTTTTCTAAAAAGTTTGGTTTTTTGTTAAAATCTCTTAAGAGATTTAAACAGAGTATAGCCATCAATGGAGGTCATGTGGTCTAAATGACAAGCTCAAATATCAGAATAAAAGCTATAACTGCCGTTTTTGTGGTAAAACAGAATATATTATATTTCTATGAGTTATTCACAATGTTTTTATTGTGAAATATAGATCTCATACGAAGTACTACAAGTAGACCACAGTGTTTGATCCTACATGAAAGCCTCAACATCCTATTTTCAGCTGAGGAGCCCCACTTCATCCAGTGTCCAGAACCATCCGTCAAGAAGGTCGTAGGCGACTCTGCTAACATCACATGCCGTATCTTCGGAGCACCAAAGCCGGATATGACGTGGAAGCTGAAGGACGAGGTGGTGTCACAGGGTCAAGTGGGGACCACTGGAGGGGACGTGGGGGGAGCACGCTTTGTGAGGGAAGCCACTGGCAACTTGATCATAAAGGTAAGTATTTTCCAGGGGGGGGGGGGCTTTTATAAGACAGCAGAAGATAATAAAGTATGGAATTTGGAGGAGGTCTCCATGAGCATTTAAGTTATACACTTTTAAAGTATCCAATATATATATATATATATATATATATATATATATATATATATATATATATATGTTGATGAGCTACCGTTAAAGGATAAGTCATTTTAATAAACTTTAACATATGTATCTTTGTGCAAACTTCTTTCTGCTCCTAAGTTTTGTTACATGCACTATTATCAATTACAAGTGTTGAACAAGGTTGACAACCTTTTCTCTAAGATTCTTTGATTATTTGTTTTAATATTTCCATTCAGAACCTTGAGAAGGAAGACAGTGGGTTTTACCTGTGTGAGGCTGTCAACACATATGGACATATTCAACAGTCTGGGGAGCTGATAGTCCGGTGTAAGTCACAGCCACGCTGGAATATAACTTGTTTATAGAGCTGTAATTTAATTGCTGTTATGTTAAGTGATTGATTGTGAAATAATTCAGTTTGTAAGATGAGGAGTTGGAATTTCTTTTGTGTATGTGTGCATTGTCCTCCTATACTTTTCCATTGAAAATGGAATTTGAAATGAAAGGAAAAAAGAAAAAAAATGGAATTTAAAATGATATCTGAATTTTTAGCCTCTCTCTCATTATGTATCATACACTCTTCAAGGTCATTCTTGTACCAAACCAACTTTCCAAATCTGATTGGTGTAACTTTCAGATCCCACGGTGATAGACAACCCCCCTGGTAATGTGAGGGGTACAGCAGGGAGTGTGGTCACCATTAACTGTACAGCCAGCACTGATCCTGAGGAGGAGGAGAACCTCATTGTGACATGGATGAAGAATGGAGTGAAAATTGACATCAAGAGTAACCCCAGATACAGGATGAGTGAGTTTGAAAAAAGTTTCACAAAAAGTGGACATGACGACCATGTGTTTCACTATTTTTTCTTTATGAAAAATGAAGTTAAAAATTGAATCATTTTTTAAATAGATAATGCTTGTAAATTATGAAAACATATTTTGCATTGTCTTCTCTTTTTCTGTTATTATTATTATTATTTATTTTTTTTTTGGTGTGTCCTCTGTCTTAAAAAAGGCAGAGGGTACTTCAATTAAAAATGAGCAAATTAGATAAGAATTTTTACCACGCCCATCATTTTCAATTTCTTTTAAATTTGGACAGTTGTAAAGAGATCGTTGTAAAATCTGTTCCTGTTCAATGTTCCAGATCCAGACAACTCCCTGGTGATAGACCCAGCCTACGTCAGTGACACTGCAGACTTCAGCTGCAATGCCTCCAATGGTCTGGACTCTGTGGTCAAGTCGGGCAGCCTGGTGGTCAGCTGTAAGTACATGCATGGTATCTAGTATACAGGCCATCCTGATGCTAACTAGTATCCATAGCTGATGGTGCCTAGTACCGGGCCATTCTTGATGGTACCTATAATATCCATTGCTGATGGTGCCTTGTATCCATAGCTGATGGTACCAAGTATTCATTGCTGATGGTACCTAGTATCCATTGCTGATGGTACCTAGTATCCATAGCTGATGGTACCTAGTATCCATTCTTGCTGGTATCCATTATTGCTGGTCTCCATCCCCAATAGTACCTCTATACATTTCTGATGTTACAAAGTATCCATATTTGATGGTACCAAGTGTGTGTGTGTGTGTGTGTGTGTGTGTGTGTGTGTGTGTGTGTGTGTGTGTGTGTGTGTGTGTGTGTGTGTGTGTGAGCAGAGAGAGAGAGAGAGAGAAGCATTTCAGTTTACAAAATACTTTGGCCATGTTCATTGATCCCAACATTGTACTATTGGGAACACAGATGTCAAATTTGCACCTTGTATTTTTCCAGCCCCACCAGGACCACCAGTAGATGTCCTCGTAGATGAATGTGGAACAAGACAAGCTCGCATTTCTTGGAGCAAAGGAGCAGAAAACAATGCCAGAATTTTACTGTACATCATTGAATATAGTGTAGCAGACGACCCTGGCAATTGGCAGCAGCTGAAGAACATCAGTGCCCCTTACAGTACGGTCACCTTAGACCTGGCACCATATAAGTCGTACTCCTTCCGAGTGAGAGCCCAGAATGAGGCTGGAATCGGAGAGCCAAGTGCGGTGACTGAGAATACAAAATGCACCACCCCTCCAGAAATTCCTGAGAAGAACCCCGATAATCCCAGAACAGAAGATCGTCGACCTAAAACTTTGGTCGTGTTATGGGATGTGAGTATTTTTACCTAATATATCAAATGTCGTTAATTTTAGATTGATGCTAAACACACAAATATTTATTGCTGTCATGCTTCTATTTCAGCCACTGACAAAAGATGAGCTGAACGGCCCAGGATTTCATTACAAGATCAGATATCGACGCACAGATCTTGACCGTAACACACCATTCTCAGAGGCCACAGTTGATGATCCGGACCAAGGAGAAATTGTCATTGATTCAGATACCTACAGACCATATGAAATCTATGTGGAGGCAGTGAATGACATAGGCACAGCACAACCCCCAGCACAGAGAATTACTGGCTTTTCTGGGGAAGGAAGTGAGTCTTCGTTGGATTTCAAATTTTATTCAGTTTTGTAATAGTTTTATTTATTTATTTATTTATTTATTGCAAAAAGACTGAAATGATTTTAACCATGAATTACTTGACTGTGCAGATAAACACAGTAAATATAAAGGCTATGTTCTTTCTTGGTATTTACAGTGATGACATATTCAATAGAGATCATAGTAGAGCTTTTGAACATACATTTTTTGTATAAGTACTGGTCTCATTATGTGATCTACTGTAATGCTACAGTGCAAAAGGGTTTCCTCACCAACTTTTTTCAGAGGATACTAAGATAGATATTCTTATGGTTTATGCTTACAGAGCCATCCATATTTCCTGAAAATTTCCGTGAAGATGAAGACGAGACGGCCACATCAGACACAGTTTTTGTGAGGTGGTCCCCTGTTAAACCAGAGCCTGAAACTGTGAAGGGCAAATTTATGGGATATCAGGTGAGAGAAAATTATAAGATAATGATATTGGTGAGCAAATAAACATTGCCAGCAAAGATTTGGGTAGGATGTCAGGTAAGAATATTTTTTTAAATGCTCACTCATGATCTTTTTATTCTGTAATTCTGTAATGAACCTAGGGTACATATAAACAATTTGATATAACAGAATAACATAGTGAATTGTAAAAATCACACAGTGTATTGTAAAAGTCACAGATACATATCTTTGAAAATTTGATTTTGTATTGATTGTTACAGATTAAATATATTATTAAATGGTAGCAAAAAATACATTACTCAAAAAAAAAAAAAATACTCAAAATAAAATAAACCTGTACTTGTATAATTTATTTAAAATACTGCTACAAAGTGGTTCACCCTCACTGTGACATCCATTTAATGGTACTGACCTCCTCACTTTCAGATCCAGTACTGGCTTGCAGATGAAGATGAATCCAAGATGAAGAGAATCAACGTCAATGCCACTGAAGAGACTGAGAACTCTTACGGCAGAGGACGCAGAGCTGCTGACGATGTCAAGGCATCCATTCCTGACCTGCCACCCTATGCCGCCATAACTGCCCAGGTGGCCGTCAGGAACAGGAGATTTGTTGGCGATGCATGTCCTCCTATTGATATCAAGACAGCTGAAGGAGGTGAGATATAAATGTGATAAGTACCAAACACCAGCCAAAATACTTTCATACTGTTATCATATAGCCAACTTGGACATAGGCTTTCATCAAACTCATGTAAGTAAATTTGTGAAGAGCTATAGTATGTTATAATTTCATCCATTTTTGGAAAGGACAAAAAGATATAGTCTTTTCTTAAAGAGGGAAATGATTAAAAAAGTCACAATAAGATTGTTTTGATGTTTTCAGCCCCAGGCCCAATCACTAACTTTGAGGTGAGTGCCAAGGGCCCAACCCTGATGGACCTGAAGTGGGAGCCCCCTCTAGTGGCTAATGGTATACTGACTGGATACACCATAGAATACAGAACTGGTAAGTCTCCTGACTAATACTGTTTGATACACCATAGAATACAGAACTGGTAAGTCTGGGAGTGCTGGACCATGGTTTCCTTTTCTCTTAAAAAAAAGCTGAACTTTCTCAACTTTAAGTTAGGTTTTGAAGCATAATTATGCTTTTTGCGTATTTTCATGTAATCCCAGCTTGCATTTTTGTGTGGAAGGCTGGGATTGTGGTATTTATTTATTTATTTTGATGGACATTGATTTTTTTTCTTATCATAACACAGTAAGTGTCTTGGTTGAAGTAATTATAAGACAGGAATTTGCATTTAATTAGTCTTTTGTGAAAATAAAAGCCAGTGGTATATATTATAGTCTGTGAAAAGAAGAAGAAAGTCTTGTGCTTAGCATTTTTCATTATTCATGGCAATGTCTTTCCTCCACCAGCCAATGAGTCTGAAGACTTGGGACCCGTCATGGTGGAAGAGGTCACAGATCCCACGCAACTGACGCTGAGACTCAGTGACCTGGAGCCAGCCACCAATTATCGCATCACTCTCAGAGCAGAGACTGGAGGCGGACTTGGAGAAGAACTGACCAGAGATGCAGAAACCATGGTTATGTGTCGTAAGTTTAGACTTTTGTTGTTGTTTTTGTTGGCTATTATTTATTTTCATTAAAAAAATGCATATGTATTTAGCATAAACAGCAAGTTTACTGATTACTGAAGGAAATCCACTTTGACATTATTTGGTAATTTTGATTCTTAAACAGAGGCGACTTTGGCTCTTATTCTTAAATTTGTGATTGTGTCCAGTTGCAAGAATGATTGGTACAGTATTGTGCTAGGTGTGACACTAAGAGGGCATGTGTATATTATGCACTAAATATTCATTTAGAAAAAACTGGAGCTGCTGTTAACCATGTGTCTGTGACACTGAAATGACTCTCATTGTGGTAGCTATGATCTAAGTTTATCTCAACCATTGTGTTAGCTGTGACATAAGTTTATCTCAACCATTGTGTTAGCTGTGGCATAAGTTTATCTCAACCATTGTGTTAGCTGTTGCATAAGCTTATCTCAACCATTGTGTTAGCTGTGACATAAGCTTATCTCAACCATTGTATTAGCTGTGACATGAGCTTATCTCAACCATTGTATTAGCTGTGACATGAGCTTATCTCAACCATTGCGTTTCAGCACCCAATGCACCAATAGTGGACATTGTGGCTGCAGAGACCAGTATGAGTGTGTCCTGGACGCCAGCCAGTGACAACCCTGGGACCACTTTTTATGTGGAGTACAGGAGACCAGGTAAGGTCATAAACACCAACACATATAATCATGGGACAACTTTCTATATGTCTATATATATTCTAAATCATAATTCTAAATCTTTATAGAAACTAAATTCCATTATCCTTTGAAGATATATTGCTCACTTTTTCCATGTTTTTCAACTACTAGTTGAAGAAACATGAAAACACACAATAAAAGGAATGACACTAAGGGAAATGATTCAGGTATAAGTGAAAATTGATGAATTGGTATTTTTTAAAATGACATAAGATTGTATAATAATGTAATCATTCTTCAGATGATAACACGTGGATAAGAATCCCAGCAGAAGAAGGTGTCAATTCAGTGGACATTGGACGTTTGGACCCTGGGATGGAGTATGAAGTGCGTGTGATCGCAAGCAACGACCCAGACAGCACGGAGTTTGAGACTGCTAGTCCCATAGAGACTGTACGGATGGCAGGAGCAGGTGAGCTGGAACACTGGGAGAATATGTGCTTCAGAAAATATATTATAATCTGTTTCTATAGTTCATTTTCATTTTTTATTGATTGGCTTATTAATTAATTTATTAATATATTGTTATCAAAATTATTTGGTTGAAATAAATTATTTATTCATTCATTTATTTATTTAATGAACAATATATCATATATATTTACTTATTCAGAGATGTATTGATTTATTTGACTTGGCCATTTTAAGACTTATTAGTATTAATGTTCTGTTTCTGTTCTGCATCCAGCTGCTCTGACTGAAGAGCTAGGCCCAGGGATCTGGTTTGCCATCCTACTGGCCATCATCATCCTCCTCATCATCATCCTGCTCCTCTTCTGCTGCATTAGGAGGAAGAGTCAAAATAAGTATAATGGTAAGATGGTGCTTTTGGTTGAAAATATTTTTTTTGACTTTGAAAAATTTTTTTAACTATTCCGTTTGTTTTATTCAAGAGGCAAGAAAATGTACGTTTTATTTTGTATTCTCTTTTTTCTGTTATTCAGTTACATTAATTTTTTAATCACTTTTTGTTGCTATCCATTGTTGGAATTACTTGTGCTCATGTCAAGAATTGACACAATTGTCATGATGCTGCAGAAATTAATTGACCAAACAAAAAGGGATGAAATATAAAACCTTATTATGTCCATGTATATGGCTAATTTACATAGAAAACAAACAGAATTTTTTTTATTGAAATATTTAATTATTATTATTATTCCAGTGGAGGAGAAGGAGAAGCTGCGCCCTCACTCTAATGGACCCCAGTTCTCTGAGTTCAGCAGAGGGTAAGGGGGAGGTTGGTTCAGCATGCTTTCTGCTTCTTTCTTCTCTTCTTCCTTTTATCACCCTGAGTGCCATATGAAACATTTATCACCCTGAGTATCATATGAAACATTTATCACCCAGAGTGCCATATGAAACTTTTATCACCCTGAGTGTCATATGAAACATTTATCACCCTGAGTGCCATATGAAACTTTTATCCTTATTGTTAATATAATCAGTTGATACTTATGTGAGATATTGTCTTGAAGTGGAGGAGAGATAACGTGAAGATTGTGACCCTGGGGGATGGGGTAATGGTATCCAGAAACTGCATCAGAATTACTGATCTCTAGTGCCCTTTTATGAAATATGATAAGCTATGTCTGCTACTATTGAATTATAACCTTAAAATTGATGATTATCATTCTGTTATTTGCTTTTTTTTCATTGGTGTCAAATTATTGTTGTAAAGGCCTTTTGATCATTAAAAATTTTTAGTAATTAAAATTTGAAGACAGACATAACATGTTTATTAATTTTCGTTTTTTTCCATCTGAGTACATGTAAGGTTTACATGATTAAGTGAAATTCATCTTTTAACAGTGACAATCATTTCATACATCATGCAAAGTATATTTCCTCAATATTCTCCATGATGCATGCTGGTCTAAAATCCTCTTGCTTTATATATACTTCTGCCACTGTCAAAGCTTTTAAAACAGTGATGTATAAACACCATGCAGCTTAATGAATCTTTTCTACACCTTTTACTCGTGCCCTTTCAACCTTCACAGCCTCTTGCAGAAGCTTTTATACTTTGTTATACATGTACAAACAAATTTGTTGTGTTTAGATTCACACTTTTCAATTCTTTTCTTTATCCTGTTTGGATGTCTACCTTAATTTGCACTTTATGAAAGCAAAATAAATTTGACCAATTGAAAGGAATTAACTTGCCTTATATACTTTGGCCTATATAAGAGCAAAATCATATTACATTTTATTTGCCATATACTTTTTCTCATAAGAGAACATTTTTATAGTTTTTTTTTTCTTATGTATACTAATTTTTTCTTTGAAAAATGCAAAACAGATTTAAAGTATAGATTATTGTTTTGGAAAAAGGAATTTGCATACATGTACATGTAATTACTATAACAGGAGTAACCAGTCTGAGTTTCTATATAGGTCATAAAATTATATGTAATTTGTATTCAAACAGAGCTCCAGGATCTCAAGAACCCCTTGAACCAGAGGACGCGGACAGACCAGAGAGTGAATCAGATAGCATGGATCAATATGGAGAAAATGAACTTGGGAAGTTTAACGAAGATGGTTCTTTCATCGGCCAATATGGCCGCAGCCAGCCTGGCGCTAAGGGACAGGATTCGTCGCGCTCTGCAATGCAAACTTTTGTTTGATTTATTAAAATTAGGACTTTTGCTACTTTCTAAACTGTATAATCAAAAATTGCCAATATATATCAAACTTGTCAAAATGGATGCCGTCAGCCAACTTTATTATAAGATGAGAAGTGTGCTAGCTATGCATAATTTGTGTGATTTTCATGGACTTACAACAGCCATTTTTACAGCTGTTTCACCTTGGACCCATGAAACATGAACGTATACAATTGTATCATGGATCCTGGTTTGATTCAAAAATAACAGTTTCATAGCTTTAATTTGTCCTCAGACAGGCCTGTGGACAAGTGGGGGTAGGTGGGTTAGAAATTTTTAAAAACTTTGGGCCATAAAAGTTCCCCTTTGAATCAAATTATAATTTAGATTTGATGCCATATCTCAAGTTGGGTCAACTAAATTAATAGCTAGATCATTAAAAGATTCATTTTTTAAGAAAAATAAACTTTATTTCCATCCCTCTTTGAAACTACTGGCTGTGCAGGCCTGTCAGAGCTTGGCTGGGTGTACAGAGAAGAGTAGGGAATGATGGCTTGATGTAGGTGTTTGGTACCACACCCTGTGCTTCACTATGCAACTTCTTTAAGAAATAATTGCTCAATTTTATACTGCCATTTTTCTGATTAAATAAAATATTGTTGTTACACTTGTAAAAATAAGAAAATGTTCCCATTTGTATGAAGTAGTTGGAATTTGTAAACAAGATTTTTTAAAACATGCAGTTTTTAAAAACATCTCTAAGATTGATAAAGTTTTCTACGTACATTAAATGATTATTCATAATAATACTGAACTATTTTTAAGATAATTAATTAGTTATATTGATAAACTGATTGATATATTTATAGGAATTTTATTAGCCATGCACTGTCTAATGAGGATAAGAAGTAAGAAGTAATTAGTTACAGTTCAAGGGTCTGTATCCACAAAAGATGTGTACACCAGAAGTTGGCCAAAAGTGATAGACGGTTTCTGTTTTTGAATGGAATGCTGCAGAATTATCATGAATGTTGAAGACGGCCTAAGATATAGGTCTTTAATTTCAGGCATCCTTTTGTTCCAGTGGTGTAACTTGAATTGGGCCTTGTTCTCTGGGATTGCGATACACTGTAGTTGACTTACTAGTACGGTGTAATCGAGTAATCACTTTTCTTAACTGAAATGCATTTCCATTACATGCAAATTCTCCAGGGAAATTTGAATTCTTCTACATTGCGAACTCGTGTAATACCTGTTCATATGCAAATTATTTTGTTCTTGGATAACACACTCAGTCATGTGAACAAATATTGCTCAAATGCCAAAGATTATTATAGGAAAGATTCGCAGCTTTAAAACAGTGATGCTTTGTTTTGCTAGGAATTTAACTTTATTATTTTTCAGATTGTGATTGGCAATATGGAGGGTGTTACAGTAATGACTTGATCTTTTTACTGGGGAAATATTATTAATCTTTAATTCAGGCACATAATTTTGAAATCATTAAAAATTATATTCTGTAAAGCATTTTTTTTTTTACTGGACAGAACAGGACTATAGGGTAGCATTCTTTTCAATTGTTGCTGAGGTTCAAGAGAAATGTTCTAATTTTAAGGATTTCTTTCTTAAAAAATGTAGTATCTATTAGATTCACAATTTTCCAGTTGAAAAGACCAAGACATTGCTGTCTTTTTATACAGATCAAAAACATATCCTTTCCATATTTGCCGGCTTTTTGTTTTTTATTGCTTTTAATTTTGTACGTTGATATACAGTGAAACCAAGTCATACAGTATAGAAAGATGTTTGTTCTTTATATGCCCTTTCTTTATAATGCTTTAAAAAACCATGGAAAGCTTGGGAATTGGATGTGTATATTTGCATAATATATAAATCTGATTGGGCTTACTTGTTGCATTAGTTTTGCAATTTGACATTTATAATAGCTAAAGAATGTGTTTTGATCTTATTTATGTGCACAAAATGCAGTGTCAATGTGTTAAATGATTTTTTTTTACATATAATGATAAGGATTAGGTTCAAGTCAAGAGTACATGCCAACAGCAACAGAAAAACTTGGTTATTTGAGGAGAAATAGAACTATGGCTAACTTTTCTATTTGGGTGGAAATAGAACTTGTGTGAAGGAACATATATAAACTGTAATTTGAGGTTTTTTCAAATGGATAATTAATTCAATGTCTTATTAGCAGCAGTTGTAATACTGTCAGAATATTACACGATCACTAGTCAAAAGATAAAAATTTTTTAATTATGTTTCAGAAAGTTGTTGCAAGGAACTAACTCTTAACTTGAACAACAGTTCCAAATTTGTTAATATGTAAATACAGCAAGGGATCAACCATATGCCCTATCCTGTGGGACACGCTCACCTCATTAACATTGCACGCACACATACATGTACATTTGATATGGATTGTAGTGCATGCAGACAGAATATACAGGATTGATAGGTGTTGATCACCTTGATAATGAGGTGTTCATTTTTTTTACCGAGTTTGTAAAAAGTGTTGTATAATTGTGTAATTTGATCCCAAATGTTTTGTTGATATGTGTATTGTTTATGGTGCTCAATAAAAGCTGAAAGCTTACCAGATTTTCCTTTTGAGTTTTCACTATTAATAAATGTCAAATAGCCATTTCAGTTTTTAAAATTTATAATTTAAATCACAAAAAATTCTTGTATCGATATTTTTTTTCTTGCATTTTTTCTTAGCCCTTTTAAATACGTTTTTTTTAATTTTAATTTAATATTCAAGTTTCATTATACGATACTTATTGGGGATATTTTCATCAAAATATACATCAACAGAACTTGTAATCAGTTTCTTTTAAGTTCTTTAAAAATGGACAAAAACATTTAAAGAATCAATGTCTTTATTCATAGCCATTCTTACACAATTTTATGTATCACAATTACTTAATATTTTTCATGCCCAATAATGGCGTTAGCATTAAACTGACTTGCCACTATTTACATTAACCACTCTCAATCTGAAAGAAAACAATATTCAGTTGTTTTCATACAGCAAAAAATGTAACAGTTCTGCTGAAAAAGAAATTCAGATATGTCCTTAAAAAAAAAATGTAATGAGCCTGTTCCAAAGTGACGCTATTTCCATGTAGAGAATTTTTCCATCTCATCTGCTGGAATTAAGACATCCACAGATTTTTTTACTTAAAAACTCTGCACTCAAGCGTCAGGAAACTCCTTATGTGTATGTTTATATATATACGGCAGCCACCAGGCACATAGTGTCTATGACAGCCACCAGGTGGCAGTGGCAGTCTATGTGAAGAAATAAGCCAGTTCTTCCTCCTCTTTACTGGCCAACAGAGCACTGTCATCCTCCTTCTTCTTCAACCTGGGGGGTTCTGACCTCTCCACTAACTTCCTGCCCAGCTGGAAACAAAACAGGGATGTGATTTATTATTATCTGGTATTCTGGTATGTATTACATTTGACTGAAAAACCTTTTTAATTTCAAATCTAAACTGTAAATTTGCCACTTGTTCCAGCGTTTTCAGCCAACTGGAGGTGAAAAAGGATATATTTTAGAAGTATTAGGACTTCAAGTAAAGCTGGTATTTAAGGGAAAAACTTTATTTTATTTCTAATTTTATTTCTATTCACTGCTACAGCACCTCCCCAATCTTTTTCCAGTAGAGCGTTTTTTTTTTTTTTTTCACAGCCCGAACCCCCTTGGCTAGGGACCTCTACAAGTTCTTACCTTTTTCTTTGGCTCTGCCTTGGCTCTTTCCAAAGCACGCCGCACTCTCTCCTCCTGGTGTAGCCTCTGCTGCTCCATCTTTTCTTCTCTTTGTTTCAAACGCCTTTCTTTTTCTTTGGACTAGAATGAAAAAGTAAATTAAATTAAAACCTTTTG